CATCGGAAATATCCTGTTTGGATGCGCGCGCATCAGCGCGCGTCTAAAATATCAAATGTGTGTTATGGCAGACGATAAAAGTGTGTGATGGTGTAACACAATTTCACATCTTACTATTCTTCTGAGGACTTTCACCAAATTTCACCACGTGATGTAGTTCGATATTTTGTGACGATACAAGCAATTTTTTTCCGAGGACGTGGAAAAAGTCCTCGGAAGAAATTTACGTCCTCGGAGTAAAGGTGTTTTTTCACACTATAGTCCTCGGGAGATCTGTGAAACCAACACACACACACACACACACACACACACACACATATATATATATATATATATATATATATATATATATATATATATATATATATATATATATATATATATATATATATCCCATGTTTTCCCCATTATCCCGTGGATATGACTCATTGGATAATTTTTTCATAATCCACAGTTGTGACGTCACAATGGTTTTTGCGTTAGCGCGATGAAGTAAAATAAAGTGGAGTCCTATATAAAACAGTGTAAAACATTGGTTGTGAAGTATTAAACATGGGATAAAAAGAATCTCCCATGATTTGTAGTTGGATATGACTTTTATCCAACTCGTTGTGTGTTTTTATCCCCTCGCCAAGGCTCGCGATAAAAAACACACAACTCGTTGGATAAAAATCATATCCAACTACAAATCATGGGAGATCCTATATATATATATATATATATATATATATATATATATATATATATATATATATATATATATATATATATATACGAGGAGTTATCAAAAAGTTCGTGGACTGACGCGATAAAATTAATAATATGTAGTCTTTGCTTACAAAATTTAAGCGGAACATAAAACAAGAAAAGTTTAAGAAATGTTGAAAATTTTAGCTTGATACGTTGATAATTTGCCAAATTATTCTAAAATTAAAAAGACTTTATGTGATCACCCGGCGCTGTTGCCGTTTAGTGTCATGACGTCCCCTTAACGTCATTGTTTCTTAATGTCCGCTCTCTCTACCTCATACACTTATCTTGTTGAGATTACCTGGAGTTAAGTAAGGACTTAAACCCGTCTTATTTATATGAATTTACAATGTCATGAGCAGCTGTTTTCAATGCATATAATATTATAAATGGATCTTTATATGGGGAAAGATCCTCACTTGATCATGCCAGAATACTTAGCTTGTTGGAGTTCAATTTCTACCACACATGATCAACGTCACTTTTCGACGTGACTGACTTTTGACACGCTGACTACAAATCGACACTAACTGTGCATATTTCATCTCTCTGAATCTTTTTGGGCATTAAAAAACAAGTACTCTGGATGCATTTTATTTTTCTGTAGCCAGTTTAAACATTCCTTAGGTCAATACCAGTTTTTCCAGGAGCGAAACTCTATAGAGTGTTCCAAAAAGAAACCCCTCCCCTTTTTTGACGTTATTTTCAAGCCCATAATTGTTTAGACACTCCATATAAAATTTACGATAAACTTTCATAGAAATTACAGAATTGCAAAATTGCAAATTTTACTGAACAAATGTGTCGCACCACATGCCTGAATTAACGAGATTTTTTGATGACAAATACTCATATCTAAAGAGTTTTTCTCAGTTACACTCAGGTAGAAAAAAACGTCATATTAGAGGTTGCGCCGCCTGGACATACCTTTGCTTACAAAAACACTAACAATTTATTAAAAAATAAAAATTATGATTGATGGTTTATTCTATAGATAGAAAAGATGATGCTAACTAAATGTGTAAAAATTCATTGATGTACCTAAAGCGGTTTTAATTTTATGACGTTAGTCCACGAACTTTTTGATAACCCCTCGTATATATATATATATAGTGAATACTTTATATTGAATAAAAGTACTTTTTAAACCTTTTGTTTTCTTTTACTCAGAAAATATTTTAAAAACATTCAATAAGCGAGATGAAATTCGAAAATGCTTACCTTACCTCTCTGAACACTTTTCTATGATTAAGACGTATGAAGATTATCATACTTTTATACGATACAGAAAGGGCGCGTTCTGTATCACAGCAGCGGGGCACCTCCGTCTTATAAAGAATGGATTCCTTACATGTGATTGTATTCTCAGTAAATGACTCTAACATGGTTCTGGTCAGGGCATTTATCACTCATACTGACAATTTTGATTTATGTTCGCAATTTTTGTCTCCATATTACAAAAAAAAAATATGACTGAGTACTTTAAAAAGTTGTTAAATGTTTTACTGCATCCTTATTTTCGGGTCTTATGACCAGATACTTTTATTTTATTGTTATTTAAAAAATAAAATACGACTTTTTATTTATTTATTTATTTATTTATTTTTGTTTTTGTTTTTGTTTGTGAGTGTTTTTCTGTTGTTGTTTTTTTTTTTTTGTTTTTTTTTGTTTTTGTTTTTTTGTTTTTTTTTTGTTTGTTTTTTTTTTTTTTGTTTTTTGTTTTGTTTTTGGTTGTTGCTTTCTTTTGCAAAATGGATGTTTCTAAGATAAATTCCTAACTTTCCTCTAACAACTGATAAACCAAGGAAGAACACCCATTGGTATAATATTTGTGTAGTCTTTACAGAACTTTCTATTCCTGTTTTCTATTTCTTTTTCTGATTCACTGAGTACAGAATATCTATGTTATATTTTAATACGTAGACAAAACAGATAATTGGAAAAAAAGTATAAAAGTATGACGTGCCCTTTCTCACAATTTCTTCAGGGCATAGTATGCAGCAGTGTATGATTCCAGTCAAGTCTCGTATTGGGGGGGGGGGGGAGGGGAGGGGAGAATATTGATGGGTTTTTTTTTCATGAAATGTGATGATATCAAACATTATTTAATCTCTAAAGTCCAATGAAACGATACAAATTTGGAGCAGAGCAAATACGGACGTCTAAAACATCAGCGTTGGGATCGGGTGCCATGGAGGAGTGAGCATCCCCTACCGCCGGTCACGCCCGCCGTGTGCTCCTTGAAATGATCGAGGGAAAAACGGAAAAATCAGTATAAATAATGGCCTAACAATTAGTATGAAAATCGTCAGCCAGCATTTGACTCAATGCTAGGTTGTATTTGCTGACAAGGTCATTGTATCAAACATAAAACTTGCAAAAAGATTACTTCAAACGAGACTGTTGATATCCTTGTTTCATTAACTTGTTTGTCAATAGCTTGCCTCGTTTGAGAAACTACGAAGAGCATGCTCTTGCGTTTCAAATCAATTGAGAGACATAAACCCATATGCAGTTGATAAGGGTATATTGCTACATAAGTAAGGGAAGTTGACAATTGAAAATTTGAAGTCATCACCTTTATCAAAAAGCTTTCTTTTAAGTTACCATTAAATCTTTTTCTAGTAAAATATCTAAATATGAAACAGATGTGTCATATAAATATCATAATTTCGATTATTAATAGTCCTTCATTTGCTGAAACGCATTCTTTTTGACAACTGAAGGGGGGAAAATAATGTGTTTTTTCCCTCTTCTAAATCTAATACGGTGGGGTTGTCTTCATTAAGCAAAGAGGTATTTAAATACCGTAAACTTCCTTTGAGGTACATGCATGTCCTACACAAATACTTAAACAAAAATAAGTACTTGTACAGTTTCACCGTCTTCACTTGAGGCTTCATAAATAGAACAATTATTAGTACTTTGACTTTTGATAATAATAACCTTACAACAAGTTAGTCACATAATATGGACAAGAACCACTTTTGCTTGGATTATCATTTTTTTCCTTTAAAGGTATATAAACATGTCTGAACATTTTTATAACATTGTGCTGAAATTATCTTCCCCTTTGTGAAGCTTGAATCAAGATCTGAACACAGTACGACAACTTAAGTCAACCATAATGTTTGAGTTTGTTATATAAATGATAAATTGAAGCTAAAATATTAATTAACAGGCTGGACAAAATGGGCAGATTGAAAGGCAGGGGTAGTAAAGAAATAACTCCACATCGTGTATTAAATGGTTTTCCAACAATCTATTGGAATTCCCATGGGTACCAATTGCACCCCGTTATTAGCAGACCTATTTTTGTATTCATATGCAGCAGAATTTGTTCAAAATCTTTTACGTGAAAAGAAAAAAAAAAACACTTGTTGTGACCTTCAACTTGACATTTAGATATATCGACGACGTATTGTCAATTAACAATGGTTATTTTCATTCTTATGTCGACACGATATATCCCGGTGAGCTTGAGATAAAAGATACCACAAAGTCTAACACATCTGTTTCATATTTGGATATTTTATTAGAAAAAGACGTTAATGGTAATCTAACAACAAAGCTTTATGATACACGTGATGACTTTAATTCTTCAATGGTCAACTTCCCTTACTTAATATGTAGCAATATACGCTTATCATCTGCTTACGGGGTCTATATCTCTCAGTCGATTCGATACGCAAGAGCATGCTCTACGTATGAACAATTTCTAAAACGAGGTAAATTATTGACAAACAAGTTGATGAAACAAGAATATAAGCAGTCTTGTTTAAAGTCATCATTTCGTAAGTTCTATGGTCGATTCAATGAACTTGTTCAGCAAATACAATCTCTCATTAAGCCAAATGCTGACAGACTTTTTTCATACTAATAGTTAGGCCATTATATACACACTGATTTGTTGACGGATTTTTCCGTTATTTCCCGATCAGGACAAGGAGCACAAGGCGGGTGTGACCGGTCAGCAGGGGATGCTCACTCCTCCATGGCACCTGATCCCACCTCTGATGTTATATAGGTCCGTGTGGCTTTGCTCCTATTTTGTAATGTTTAATGGACTTTTGAGCTCGAATACTGTTCGTTATCTCCACATATTTCAATAAATTTACTTAGGGATATTCAAAAAATCCTCAATTTGAAATACATTCTTAACATCTTTTTAAAAGTTCTTACAATTAAAAGGCACGAAACTAAAATGAAGTCTTGGTAGTAGTTCAAAATTAGTAATCAAAATACTGGTATTGGGTTCAACTATTTATTTCAATATGTTTAAATACAGACACATTTAGATTAACTCTCTTCTAAGAATCATTAACCTGCAATAGAATTTTCAAAAAGAATGTAATGTTCAATAATTTCAAGTTCTTGGAATGATAATGTTATATATGTACAGGTACTTACTTCTACGAAAGCTTGTTGCGGCTATCTTCCACTGTAATGTAAATTTACCAAGAACTTAAAAGCATTCGTAACAAGGCAATATATTGATATTCAGTTTTAAAAAATGTAGGCTTTGGCCCAAAATATAAACACTTGATAATTAATTTTTCTGATTTCATCAACATAAAAATGTTATAAATCAGGAACCAATCACCTAGCAGATACTTTTCCGCAAAAAGATCGATGCTGTATGTTGTCTATGCAATGTTAACTAATATATAATGCATATAGTCCTCTATCATTAATACCATTTAAAAAATGAAAAAGGAAACATACTAGTTAGATGCATTGAGTCCATGGGCAATTATCTCATCCTTCAAAGCTAGGGCTTTCATCCTGATAAGATCTCCGATGGCTGACCTACCAGTTCAGTATACATTGTATAAAATAGGTCTGGGTTTTTTTTTTAATGATAATCGGGATTTATTTTTGATTTAAAAAGGGTATGTGTTTCAAATATAACTTTGAAACATAAGATCAAGTTTATTTTTATTTAATTTTTGACGTACAATATAAAAAATTCATTTTTGAATATAGTAATATTTTTATCATTTCTACATCTAGAAATAAGGTAAAATCCAAAAAGAAATTAACAAAACATTAAAGCAGAATAACATATAAGGGTATCTAATGTAAATAAATATTAAACCTTGCACCTTTTGTAACTGACAGCATCACTAAAACTCTTGGAAGTGCCGAGTTCTGTCATTGAGAAAATTAAGAAGACTGAGAGGATGACGTAATGGATCATGATGTTTGTCTACAAAACATAAATGACGTAAACAAAACTCTGGATTACTCTTTCACTTTATAGAGTAATTTAATTATAAAATGCCACAGTATCAAAAAAGAGATTGCTCGTAAATTAACTGTCATAATGGAGTGATTTTCATTTTTAAACTTTTCTGAATTGAAATTTGACCATTGATTTTTTTTTTTTTTTTTTAATTTTAACATTTACATAAATACTTTCTTTATATCATTAACATCTATTTTTTTTTTGTATTTTCACACATACTGTCTGTATATAATTGATATTTATTATTTTTATATATACACACATACTTTTTTTGTATCATTGATTATATTATTTTTATATTTATGGATTATATAATACTTTCCTTACTTTGAATATCATTGATATTTATTTTTAATATATATGACTAAATACACACTTTTTAAAAATGTTCCAAATAATGTAACTTATAATTAATTGTTATTAAATGAATGAAGAAATTAAATTTATATTTAATTTATAAACAAAAGGATGGGGTGAAGGGTAATGTACGCTATGAAATTCATCAAAGTACAAAACTTCACGAGTCCTGTATCTTACAGTGCATTTTAAAAAACGGGGGAAGGGAGACACAGTTTTGTTCAAGAGATATCGCCATATACAAGATAAGCTGTGCTCTACAGACGACAATAAAAATAACATAGCATTCAACCTTATGAAAAAGATCAAGATAACGTACAGGGAATCGAACTATCTCATAAATCTGATAAAGTTTACATATCAAAAAGAGAGTAAAAACATGGATCGCTAGAAAAATTAGAAATGTTATCAGGTGCTTAGAGCGAAAATACAATCCAGTGATAGGTTATATTTGCTAACAAGGTCATTAGAAGAACCAGATTTAAAAAATGCTGACCTAAAACGAGGTTGATAAAATCCCTGTAACATCAACTTATCGCTCAGTGGTCTGTCCCGCTTTAACAATGAATCGTATTCAGAGCATGTTCTTGAGTATTGAATAAGTTGGGAGACGTTAACACCATATACAGGTGATAGCGGAATATAAAATAAATTATACATTTTTGAGAAACCCGTCTTTATCCTTTCTGTGAAAGAAATTTATCCAAAAAGTATTTCTTTCAATTCTTATAAAAATTTAAAATCAGAGAATATAGCAATATAAATCATGGAGGAAATATATGGAGATATATACGAACAGTATTCCAGCTGAAAAGTCCCTTCAAACAAACAAATCAGGAGCAGAGCAAACACGAATCTCTAAAACATCAGAGGTGGGATCGAGTGCCATGGAGGAGTAAGCATCCCCTGCCGACCGGTAACACCCGCCGTGTGCTCCTTGTCATGATCGGGAAATAACGGAAAAATCCGTCGACAATTCAGTGTGTAATAATATCCTAACAATTCATATTATTAATATGAAAATCGTCATTCAGCATTTGACTTAATGAGAGATTGTATTTGCTGACAAGGTCATTGTATCGACAATAAAACTTACGAAATGATGACTTTAAACGAGACTGTTGATATTCTTGTTTCATCACCTTGATTGTCAATAATATATGTAATAATATATATATTTATAATTGTTTAGTCATCAAATAAGTTGGGTGACGTAAACACCATATGCAGGCGAAAGCGAAATAAAAAAAATGAGGACATGTTGGACTACGGAATATTCCGTTTACCTGATTAATACTGAGGGCACACGGCGGGTGTGACCGGTCATCAAAGGTACTTTTTCCTCTTAGGCGCCTGATCCTAAGTCTGGGGATTTTCAGGGGTCCGTGTTTTGGCCCTGTGCACGGTTTGTAATGTTTATAGGATTTTTGAGATTGATCACCTTTTTCAGGGACCTAATCATAACTTATTTACTGATTAAAAATAATTTTAAGTATATAAAAAAGAGTTTATATATAAATATATGAGAACTAAACTGGAACTGCAAAATTTAAAAAGAAAAGGTATATTAAATGGTTTGAGTGAGAAAAGTAGTATTTATTTATATATTTAGTAATATTCAATTTTTATTTGGATTTGAAACTAAAATATATTCTTTTTTTAATATTATCAATTCATTCTGTAAATATTCTTTAACAAAAAATATTTTATATAACGAAACTTTTCAGAATGAAAAAGAATTCTTACCTTATTGGACTAAGCAAATCTCGATCAATTTTCTGTCAACTATGAATGGAATTTCTAGGAGATATTTATACGGAACTGTCCAATTACGTCCTGTCAATTAACAATGGGGCTTCGTTCAGTTTGGTAGATTATTTTCTGTCATTTATCAAATAAAGAATTGCAATAATATGTCATTTGTTTTATCTATGACTTCTAGTTATTAAAAAAATTCCATTACTCTTATTATTTTGCTGTATAATATTTCGATTCATGGAGTTTTATTTTTAATACAATGAATGTTGGTTATTATACAGCTCTTACATTATTAAAATGATTATAAAAGACGCCTACGAGCTTTTAAATTAACGAAGCTAAAAGTGCTTTTTTCTCATAAAAACGTCTCCATGATTATATAATTGAGTATTAAAGAGTATTAAACGTTAAACTTCAGAAGTATTTTATATTTTCTTTTAGAAATAAATAGGTTCTTAATAGATTTTAAAAAAAAAATCTTCATAAGGTTTCAGGATCGGAAAAAATATCCAACTTCACATTTATTTAATCTAAGCATCATATTCATTAAAAAAACAAATTATACATGTTACAAAAAAAATCGAGGCAATTAAGTACGTATATCGTGTATTATTTGAAAAGATGTTATTGTCATGTTTTATCACCTTTCAACTCAAAATTTTGCACTTTTAGTAATGATTAAGAAATCAATTTTATTAAATTTACACGGTAAGCGGTTAAGTTATATTGGTTAACAAAAGTCCCATTGATACATGAATGACATATTTACGATGTTTGCTTGACTATGCATTCCTTGAAAAATAAAGTACAGGAGACAATACTTGACTAAAATATCTAACTGGTTGAATGAAATGGGTGAAGATCAATCTAAAAAAAACCTACAAACAAAACAAAAAAAAATGTCAGCATAGGGCTTTGTACATGTAATATCTTAGAAACACTTATTTATTTGCTGCGATGTTAAAATGCGGCGATGAAAGAGAATCTCGAAAATAACAATAATAGAATATATAAAATTATAATAATACGATTGTAAAAAAGGAAAGTAAAATCTAAATGGGTCAGTAGCATTGTCTTTGAAATGCAAAAAAAAAAAAAATCTCAGCTAAAAACTGAAATAAATTAAATACAAAACTGAAATTCCATTGTAAAGTAATGATTGAATTATTATGGGATTATATATTGAAACACTGAACTACTTGATTTGACAAAACTAAGGAATTGAATTACTATCAGAGTATTTTTGTTACAAACTTAAAAAGAACAAAATTATACTGCAAAAGTTAAGTTTAATGGCAATAATACAATATCCCAAACTTCTTGTCAATGATAGTAAAGTAGGAAAATATTTAAATAGAAATTATAGAAATTAAGCAAAATTTATATCCATTTTGTTTAATTTGTCTGATCATTTTTATGAACAAATCATCATGTGTAAAATATTTTTATCTATCACAGTTTTATCCCTTCATTTAGTGGATATCATCCTTATCATTTTTTTCATATTCCACAGTTTGTTTTCTGACGCCTCATTATGTTATGAAATCAAAACATTTATATGCATAAGTAAGTATAAACATTAAAGATCCAGTCAGAGTTCAAAATATTGTAATTCCTTCAATTATTCAAATTAAAGATTCTACATTGAAAGAGAAGAATTTTTCCACTTTTTATCACACATCATTTTTAGATGCCCTATTTTCTTAAATGTATTATGTGACCCAAAGTAGCCGACCGGAAAAGGGGGAGGGGTAATTCCATTTAAAAAAGGAAAACAGATGGTATTTGATTTAACTTTTTTTTTTTATCCAACTCCATTCTATATCAAAATTTATCAATGTGTGCTTGTGAACTAAGAACCAAAGTGGTTAAACACACAACTCAATGGATATAAAAAATATTCAATCATATCATAAATCATGATATATATATATATATATATATATATATATATATATATATATATATATATATATATATATATATATATATATATATATATATATATATATATATATATATATATATATATATATATTCTTTATTACGTTGATTATAAACATGCAAAATAAGATTGAATATTCCTTTTAGATGAAATATCTTCCTCATTAATCAAAAGAATCATTTCATTTGAAAACATAAAAAAAAATATCAGTGGTATGCATAATACGTGCTTACACACCTTAAGGTCATAGGATACCCAAAATCTGGGGCAAGTTGTTTTTTATATCATATACAGCCAATTATGCCTAACGTTCATTTAACATTAGAATAACATTAATTAATTGTTAATTTAATGTTAATCATTTAAACCAATTTAACGTGAAAAGAACATCAAATAACATCAAATTAACGTCAAAGTAAGGCTAATTGAGAATTTGAGATTAACATTTAATTAACGTTAGACATTATTTGCAGTGTAACTTCTTTATTTTGTTGTTTTTAAATTCAAATTAATTTGTTCATGGTAAAATTATAGTAAATTAATATTTAGTTTGGCAGAATTTTGTATATTCATGATTTTTGCACTGCATTTCTTAGAGTTGAAAGAAAAGAATTGGGGAGTATAAAAAAATAAGATTGGCTTGGTAGAAAAAATATTGTAATTATTATGTTTTTAGCATTGATAAAATTTGTACAAGCTATTTTTACAATTTTTTTTTAACAATTGTTTTTAGTATCTAATGTCCTTATCATGTACCAAGCTGAGAATTCATATAAAAGCCTATGTTAATATTTAATAGTTCTGATTACATCTAAGAAGAACTTAACTTTAAATCCACATCCAACTTATTTAATCACAGTTTCCTTTTAAAAGATGAAATTCTTCAATTTTGT